GTCTGAGTCCCTGCCCTCATGGAGCGGGTCTAGCAGAAGGCCTGATCTTACCAGAAAACCATACATTTAACTTGGATCCATGACGGAATCCTATGGGGGAGAGTCCAGGGTGAGCACATTCAGCAGGGAGTTCGGGAAAGCCTTCCTCCCACGGGATGACCTGCAAGATGAATGAGGACTAGGGGAAGGGCTGGGTTTGGGTCCAGGCAACCTGGGAACAAGTCCAGGGCCAGCAGCCTGGCAGTTTGGGGTGCCTGGCAGAAGATATGCAGCCGACGATAGGCACACACAAGGGGTTTGCAGAGGTGGGCAGGCCAGGGAATGGGGGCCTCGGAGGCTGTACTCAGGATTTTGGACTTGACCATATGAGCAAGGTGAGCTGCCAAGGGGCTTTAGCTGGAGGTGAACATACGAGCTTTATGTATTTTTCAATCACCTAGGCTGCCATGTACGGGGAAAAAGATAGCAAAGGGAGTCCATGAGGAGAGGGTAGTTAGGCAGCTTCCAGAGTTCTCTGAGAGAGGGGGTAAAAACTGGAGAACCATCACAGTAGAGGTGGCAAGTGAAGGCACGACCCAATGACACACTGTTTCCTAAAGAGGCGACTTTAAGCGACGCATTACCTCTCTTACTAGTACCATTTAGTCTATTTTAAAAAAAGCCATAATTAGCCCAGACATCTCCCGAGAGTATTTTTGGCTAAGAAATGTGAAAATTAATAAAGGGAAATTTCACTAAAATGGAGTTGGAAGGCCAGAAGGGGGTGCTTCCCCGCCCCCCGCCCCCCATGGAAGGTCAATTACAAGAAGAATGGTCAATTAGAGACCCTAACAGAAGAACGTCAACCCGAAGAATCATCAGTTACAGGGCCCAGCAGGAAAGGATGAAATCGGCTTTTCCTGCAACCCAACCGATGGCAAACTGTCATCACCCTGAACTCTTGCTTTTCTCTAAGGGACTTTGTCCAACTTTCTCCTAATTTGTTGGACCAGCCTATGGTTTTTGCCATAGCTTGCTTGTCTTCAGTTTTAATTCGTCCCAAAAAAGCCGTTTTTGCTGTGCTAAGGGCAGGGCCGCCGGCCTCAGGGGTGGGTCTGGCATCCTAGGGGCGGAGTGAAGGGTGGGTTCAGGGTGGGGCCTGTGGACTCAGGGCGGGGCCATTGGAAGGTGGGCGGGGGGCCTGGGGCGGGGCCTGGGGCGGGCCTGGGGCGGGGC